GGGTCGGTGGGCCCGCCCACCGAGAGAGGCTGCCTCGCCGTGGACAGTGGTGAACCCCAAGCCTCATTCCAGGGGAGCTGCCGAGCGGTCCAGCCACCCCAGGGACGCCACTTTCGAAGTGGCGCTGTGCCCTTGGCCCTGAGTAGCTCCTTCCTCGGGCCTTTTGTCCTTTTGAAGGCAGCTTCCCAGAGGCCTACTTTGGCCATATTTATCTTGTCACGTTTGTCCTCGGCCAGAGACAGGGCAGCTCGCAGTGATACTGATGGGTTGCCCGGGGACACCGTCCTGCACTGTCCCCAGGGGCCTCGGCAGGCAGCCTGGGACGGTGCTGGGAGGGAGCAGGGACGGCGGGGGAGCCATCACCCTGGGACTTCAGCATTATTTGTGGCTGCTGTTGAGTTGCCAGCACTGAATGGACGCCATGCCCAGGACCTCGGGGCTGGTCGGAGAGGCCCTCGTCACGCCCCTGAGCTGTCCCCTGTGTGTCTCTGCACCCCCAACCGGCCTCAAGTTCTATGACCCAGCTGGGGCTCCACACTGCTTCCTTTTTGCCCTTCTTGGCTCAAGATATAGCATCTTGAGTGACCCTGAGTGACAGAGGGGAGGCCCAGGCTGAGCCTTTCTGCCTGGGGTCCAGCCTGACCCCTGCAGAAGCAGCTGCGGGGCTTCACTACGGTCTGGGTGGGGACTTGAGGGCACAGCGTGTGCTGACAACCGACAGCCTCCCGAACTCTAGCCGCAGACAGCATCTGGTGGCGTCCTCATGGGCCGCGTCCTTGCCCGCATCTGCAGGGCTGACCAGGGCATGGCCAGAGCGGGCAGGTTTCCTCGGCATTTCCATCCAGCAACCTCCCCCCACCTCCAACGTCAGCCTCCCCTCCGTCCCCAGCTTCCCTTGCTGAGCAGCTGAGACAGCTGTCCCGAGCAGTGTGCCCAGAGCCCGGCCCCGGCTTGCTGTGCCCAGCTGTGCAGCCCCAGGGCACTCAGCGCACACCTGCCTGGCCCAGGCCGACGGCCAAGGCTGCAGCCTTCCAGCTGCCAGGGGCCGAGCCAGCTGCACCACAGAACTTCCTAGGAGTGAATACAAAGCGTTGCTGGAATGGACTTGGTGCCCCAGCTAGTGTAAGGGGCAGTGCGGGGCGGTGTGGGTGGGGAGGCGTGCGTTTTGAGTGGCCTAAGCGCTCTCTTGTTGGTTGATCAGGGTGAAGACGGCTTTCCTGGATTTAAAGGAGACATGGGCATCAAGGGTGATCGGGTGAGCGCCTTGGGTTGGGGATTCAGGCTGGGGAGGCAGGGTGGGCTGGGGCTGCCGGGAGAGGGGCAGCTTCTCAGAAAGGACGTGCCACTCTGCAGATTCCGGTTTGCAGGCAGGCAGGGGCCAGCCCTCTCAGGCTGCCTGTCCCTTCTCAGTATCCAGTTGGAGGCTGAGGTGGAATGTGACCTGCATCACCCTCTGGGGCCTGGGGGAACCAGCCCACCTGGCTCCCATCCTGGGCCCTGTGCGGGGTCAGTGGGGACTTGCTGCATGTCTGACCTGTGGTTTGCAGAGTCGTCTGACTCAGAGCAAAGCCAGAGGTGCTGGGAAGAGATGGAGGTTATGGAAGTGACCCTGTGGGGCTGGGGAGTGTAGCAGCCTGCCCAGGCCATCCCTGATGGTGGTCCGGGGTCCCTGCTGAGCCCAGAGAGCACCACCGCATGGGGTCTTCCTCACCTCCTCTTTTCTGCTTTGCAGGGAGAGATCGGCCCACCTGGTCCCAGGGGAGAGGATGGCCCTGAAGGCCCCAAGGGTCGCGGAGGTCCCAATGGAGACCCTGGTCCTCTGGGGCCCACTGGTGAGAAGGTTCGTGATACAGAAGTTCGAAGCTTTCCCAGGCAGAGACTGGAGCTCCGGAAAGGCTCTACACAGCCCCTTCCTGAGGCGTTGGGCCGAGCCTGCCCGGGCGGGGACTGGCTGTGACCCCCGGGCTGTGATCCCCCGGGCCTCTCCCACCCCCTCCTGTGGACCCATGCTTTGCTTGTCCCATGGGGCCTTCTTGAGCCTCTGTCCCTACTCCACCAGCTCCCCCTGGGGGAGCTCCCTCTCCCAGGGGTCCACCTGAACCCTGCCACCCATGCAAGGACCCTCGGCCTGACAGCAGTGGGCGTGTGTGGCCCAAGCCCTCTTCCCCATCTGAGCCCGTGGCTAGAACTCTTGCACAAGGGTTGCGAAGCGTCCCACAGATGAAGAACCTTCATACTGGGTGTCTGCCTGGTCGTCCCTGCTCCACCGTGGCCCTGGAGTCCTCCCTCGGGGCCGCGTGTCCATCTTATTCCGTGGGTACTTAGAGCTTCGTCTCAGAGGACAGAGACACCTCCATGGCCTGTGGCAGTGCCTCCTGCTCCGGTCCCCACCCAACCCCGCGGCTCTCTGCTCGGAGAGACAGGGTCCAGAAGTGTGTGCACGCCATAGAAGGTGCTCCTCTCTCCCCAGGGCAAACTCGGAGTCCCAGGATTACCAGGGTACCCAGGAAGACAAGGGCCGAAGGTAATCTCCACCCCCTCCCTCCCTGCCCCCCTTCTCTGTTTTCCCTACTGTGCCCGTGGAGAGACCTCTGTGTCTCTCTCGCTGTGCTGTTTTCATAGCCTTTTGTGCTATTGGCCGAGTTGAAAGGAAGAGTGTGGCAGGGAGCTGAGGCTTTCAGAGGGCATAGACCGCCCGGTGTGGCCTGCTGGTGGCCTTCGTCCACTGGCTTGTCCGCAACCAGAGCTCATGAAAGCCTCCTCCCAGCTCCAACTCACTTTGGAGACTGGAAGCTGATGGCTCATAACGGTGTAAAAGACAGACAAAACCTTCCGTATATGCAATCATGTTCGGGGTTAAGCGAAACAGCTCCTTAAGGCTTTGGAAATCATTGAAAACACTATTTTTTTCCAAATCTCACATTCTATTATTCATGGTTCTTCCTAAAGAAGTACCTGGTTGCCTGCACCAGAGACGTAATTAACGGCGAAGGCGAAGCCCTCTTTCTCAGATTTGCATCTGTGCTCGTCTTCCTTCAGCTTCAGCACTTCTGAGCTCTCCCATGCAGGATCTTATTAACACCAGGAGGCCGGGCGGAGGCGGCTGGGCGGTGGGGGCGGGTGCCTCTCCCTGTTCTGGTTAAGGAAGTGCTGGGGTCTGTGCTTCTGTGGCATACCAAGGCCTGCAGTCAGTCCAGACACACCTGCCCTTGGGCCGGATCTCGCGGGTACAGGGGGCGTGGCTTAGCGTAGCTGCCACCCTGCCATCATCCCCAGTGCTCAGTCAGGAGGGGCTGATGTCTTCTGCCTCGATTCCTTTGGGGGAGAAGAGGAGAGAGTGGGAGTCCTGCGTCAGGCAGCAGCCCTGGTGGGCCGTCCGCACAGGGAGCCCGCCTCTGACCTGAGCTCCGGGCTGGTGCACCTAGGTCCAGCCGCCAGCGGCACTGGCAGGTGGCATGGAGAAGGTCTGCTGAGCACAGTCCCCTGGGAGAAGGCAGGGTGGGGCCTGGAGGACAGCAGTGGCACTGACGTCCAGGCAGGGCGCCGCTCCGAGCTCACTTCCTGTCCCAGGGCTGAGCAGCGCCAGCGCCAGCGCCGGATCTTCGCTCCCCTTTGCCCAGGTCCACCTTGCAGGGCCTCGAGTTACACAGCCGGCAGGTGCTACAGGCTGCACACACGCACTCTCCTCTCTGACCATGCACTGCCGCACGTCCCGTAGCGCACCGTGGGAGTGATGAGGTGGCGTGGGCACGCGGGGACACCCGAGCTCCCTATCTCCAGTCCATCTCAGCAGCACGCGCTGCTTTCTAATGGAAGCCAGCCGGCGTTTACAGACCCTGCTGTGTGGGGGGGTAATAGGAGGGAGGCATGGCTGAGACCCGGTGCAGGTTTTTGACCAGAAGCCTGTGAAATGCTCAGGAGACAATTGTTGAGAAGATGAGAGGGTGGGTAGGTGGGTGGGTATATGGTTGATGGGTGCCGGATCGGTGGGTAGGATGTGGGTGTATGGATGGTGATTGGTGGATGGGTGGGTGTATGCATGGTGACCGGTGAGCGGGTGGACAAGTAGGTGAGTGGATGGGTGGTGAATGGGTAGGTAGACAGGTAGGTGTGTGGATGGATGGTGAATGGTGGGTGGGTAGACGGGTAGGTGGGTGGATGGGTGGTGAGTGGGTGGGTACACAGGTAGGTGGGTGGATGGATGGATGGTGGTGGGTGGGTAGATGGGTGGATGGTGGGTGGTTGGGTGGGTAGATGGGTAGTGGATGGGTGGATGGTGGATGGGTGGGTACACAGGTAGGTGGGTGGATGGGTGGATGGTGAGTGGGTGGGTAGACAGGTGGGTGGATGGGTGGATGGATGAATGGTGGTGGGTGGGTAGATGGATAGTGGATGGGTGGATGGTGAGTGGGTGAGTACACAGGTAGTGGATGGGTGGATGGTGGGTGGGTGGGTACACGGGTAGGTAGGTGGGTGGATGGTGAGTGGGTAGGTGGGTGGATGGGTGGATGGTGAGTGGGTGGGTAGACAGGTGGGTGGATGGGTGGATGGATGAATGGTGGTGGGTGGGTAGATGGATAGTGGATGGGTGGATGGTGAGTGGGTGAGTACACAGGTAGTGGATGGGTGGATGGTGGGTGGGTGGGTACACGGGTAGGTAGGTGGGTGGATGGTGAGTGGGTAGGTGGGTGGATGGGTGGATGGTGAGTGGGTGGGTAGACAGGTGGGTGGATGGGTGGATGGATGAATGGTGGTGGGTGGGTAGATGGATAGTGGATGGGTGGATGGTGAGTGGGTGAGTACACAGGTAGTGGATGGGTGGATGGTGGGTGGGTGGGTACACGGGTAGGTAGGTGGGTGGATGGTGAGTGGGTAGGTGGGTGGATGGGTGGATGGTGAGTGGGTGGGTAGACAGGTGGGTGGATGGGTGGATGGATGAATGGTGGTGGGTGGGTAGATGGATAGTGGATGGGTGGATGGTGAGTGGGTGAGTACACAGGTAGTGGATGGGTGGATGGTGGGTGGGTGGGTACACGGGTAGGTAGGTGGGTGGATGGTGAGTGGGTAGGTGGGTGGATGGGTGGATGGTGAGTGGGTGGGTAGACAGGTGGGTGGATGGGTGGATGGATGAATGGTGGTGGGTGGGTAGATGGATAGTGGATGGGTGGATGGTGAGTGGGTGAGTACACAGGTAGTGGATGGGTGGATGGTGGGTGGGTGGGTACACGGGTAGGTAGGTGGGTGGATGGTGAGTGGGTAGGTGGGTGGATGGGTGGATGGTGAGTGGGTGGGTAGACAGGTGGGTGGATGGGTGGATGGATGAATGGTGGTGGGTGGGTAGATGGATAGTGGATGGGTGGATGGTGAGTGGGTGAGTACACAGGTAGTGGATGGGTGGATGGTGGGTGGGTGGGTACACGGGTAGGTAGGTGGGTGGATGGTGAGTGGGTAGGTGGGTGGATGGGTGGATGGTGGTGAGTGGGTGGGTGGGTACACGGGTAGGTAGGTGGGTGGATGGTGAGTGGGTAGGTGGGTGGATGGGTGGATGGTGGTGAGTGGGTGGGTGGGTACACGGGTAGGTAGGTGGGTGGATGGTGAGTGGGTAGGTGGGTGGATGGGTGGATGGTGGTGAGTGGGTGGGTGGGTACACGGGTAGGTAGGTGGGTGGATGGTGAGTGGGTAGGTGGGTGGATGGGTGGATGGTGGTGAGTGGGTGGGTGGGTACACGGGTAGGTAGGTGGGTGGATGGTGAGTGGGTAGGTGGGTGGATGGGTGGATGGTGGTGAGTGGGTGGGTGGGTACACGGGTAGGTAGGTGGGTGGATGGTGAGTGGGTAGGTGGGTGGATGGGTGGATGGTGGTGAGTGGGTGGGTGGGTACACGGGTAGGTAGGTGGGTGGATGGTGAGTGGGTAGGTGGGTGGATGGGTGGATGGTGGTGAGTGGGTGGGTGGGTACACGGGTAGGTAGGTGGGTGGATGGTGAGTGGGTAGGTGGGTGGATGGGTGGATGGTGGTGAGTGGGTGGGTGGGTACACGGGTAGGTAGGTGGGTGGATGGTGAGTGGGTAGGTGGGTGGATGGGTGGATGGTGGTGAGTGGGTGGGTGGGTACACGGGTAGGTAGGTGGGTGGATGGTGAGTGGGTAGGTGGGTGGATGGGTGGATGGTGGTGAGTGGGTGGGTGGGTACACGGGTAGGTAGGTGGGTGGATGGTGAGTGGGTAGGTGGGCGACAGGTGTGGTTTGGTCAGGGGCAGAGGACTGGGGGATGCCGGCCTTCCCAAGGCTGGTCTATGCCACGTGCTCCCTCTGGCTGGCTCACAGCCTCAACCCAACTCTCTTCCAGGGCTCCCTTGGATTCCCTGGATTTCCCGGTGCCAATGGAGAGAAGGGCGGCAGGGTAAGGACGGCCTGGCCACCAGCCCGGGGGCTGTGCTCTGCTCGGGTTGAGTGGGGGGGTTCTCTAGGTGGCCTGTGTGTCCCGCCTGCTTTGCAGCCAAAGCTGCATTCTGGCACGGCTGCCCTTCAACTCAGCCTGCAGCTGGGCGCTGGGGAAGCCGCACAGTGTGGCCGGGTGTGACGGGAGGGGCGGAGGCTCTGAGAGGAGGGCACCGACGGGAGGAGCCGCCCAGTGTGCTGCACGGTCCAGGGCCCTTCCTGGTCGTTCGCGACACCAGACTCCTCTTTCTACCTGAGAGACTTCCTCTAGGCTAATGCTCAAAGGGAGGGAAGGAGTCTGCTACGTTCCGCTCCCCCCAGTCCAGATGGAGGCACGTCATCTGGGTATTAGCGAGCTGCAGCCATCGGAGGCACCAGGGTGGGCTGCGATGGGGCCCCTTCGGAGTCGCTGAGCAAAGGCATGCCAGGGGAATACCATCCTGGTATTTCTCCCTGCCTGCCTGCCACCCTAACCTGGCGTCTGATCTGTTATCTGTCTGTATCTGCAGCTGTCTGTCACCTCTCACCTCTGTCAGTTCGTCTGTAGATCTTCCATCTGTCTGTCTCTCTACCTACCTCTTGTTCTTCCTTCTAGAGATGTCTGACTTGTGTCTAGGGAAAGGCTGTCCTCGGGGACATCCACAGGTGTGCCTGTGCGAGGGGAGTCCTGGGCAGCACAGGGTGACCAGGAGGGACAGGCCTTCCCACTGCACCCAGCGAGAAGGGAGTCTTTGAGCAGCTGATGGTGGCATGTGGCCATAGCCCTTTCTGCGGAGGACTGCGTGGGACAGGGATTGAGGCCCCTGCTGGTCACACGGGGTAGCCCCGGCCACACTCACCTGTTCTCAGGGCTGACGGGCTGGTGCCTGTGCTCCAGTCGAGGCTGCGCTCACCTCCTGCCTTCACCTCCTCCGCTCAGGCTGAGGCTGCCCTCCGCATGGTTCTCAGCCTGCTTGTCCTTGAGCCGAGCATTTGCTCGGGGCCCCCTGAAGTCTCTGGACGCTCGTCTCTGAGCCTGGTAAAGGGCACCGACCCCCAACAAGGGGCGGTGGAGAGCGGGAGGTTGTGGAGGGGCCCTTGCTCTGCCCTGGGCTGGGCTGTCGTACCTGGGGGTCCCACCTGGAGGCACCTCAGCCACTTCCACAGCATACCTGCTTCATATCCTTGCTGAGTGCCAGGCGCTGCCAGGTGTGGGGACTCAGCATCAGACCAGATGTCCCCTTGCACCCAGAGAGGACTTCCAGGGCCTTGTGCGCCGAGCGTGTTATTGCAGGAAAAGAATCAGGGCGAGTTCACAGGAGCTAGAATTGAATCCAGGAGGTCCAGGGAGGCTCCCTGGAGGCAGTGACACTTCTGCTGAGACCTCCTACAGGAGGAGTGGAAGTGGATGGGTGCAGTGGTGGGAAGGTGGCAGAGCTGTGGGCGGGGAGAGGGAGGAACCATAAGCAGGCTGGTGGGTGCTGGGCCCGGCACTCAGCACCCCAGGCTGGGGAGCCTGGCAGGACCAGTGTGGCACTCAGGACCCCAGGCTGGGGAGCCTGGCAGGACCAGTGGTCGCTACAGGCTTGCTCTATCCCTAGGCCGTGGGGACTCACTGAGGCCTTAGTCGGGGGTGACATGGGGAGAGTCCTTAAGAGCAGCTTTGGCCCCAGTGTAGGTAAGGGGCAGAAGGGGACAGAGGGCTGATGGGAGGCCTGTGCGTTCCCTCAGGGCTCCTTTCCCTTCCTCTGGGATAGCCTGGCCGGACAGATGCTTCGAGGTGCTGGGAGACTAGGCATGACCGACTGCGTGTGTGCACGTGTGCCTGTGTGTCTGCTGCCACCTGAGGGCTGTCCGTCCTCGCCTCTGCAGAGCTAGGGGTAGCTTCTGTGGCATCGGCTGTGGGTTAAAATGCAGAGTGTCAGGAGCAAGAGCAGCTGCAGAAAGCTGGCTGGGGCCAAGGGCGAGGCGGGGCGTCAGCAGGCGACAGCCCCTCGGGGCCTGCACCTGGCCAAGGCAGGGCCCCAGAGAGCGTGTGCAGGAAGAGGCAGGGTCTGCTCCGTAGAGACTCCCGCTGCAACCTGAGGCCTCTGCTCCCCTCCCTGTGGTGGCTTCTCGGCACGAGCAGAGCGTGGGCAAGACCACTGTGGGGACCGGCTGTTCCTTCCCAGCGAGGACCAGTGGTTGGGTCACACGCATTTCACATCCGCTCGGGACTGGGCGGACATGCAGTCGCTGGAACCAGAGCCTTCGGCTGGGTTAGTTCAGAGATGCGAAGGGCAGGCGGGGCCTGGGAGGCCGAGGCAGGCGTGTGTGGAGACTGCGCCTGCACCCGGCCGCCTGCGTGCCTCACACACGTAGTTGGACAGTAGCTGCGGCTCTGTGCAGCTTGGAGCCGTGGCTGGGCGTGGTGCTGGCACAGGGTGCTGGGTTTTGCTTCGTGGAGGGTAGGCGTGAGCAAACCCGACGGCCACAGCTCACTCACGGATGCCAAGAAGGGGCCGCGGGCGGTCACGGCATCGGCACTGCAGGAACGTCCATCTTTGAGCAAAGCAGATGGTTCATCGATTTTCATACGCAAATGTTTATTCGAAGCCGAAGGACAGTGCCATGTAATTAAAGCGCTGGAAGAGAGTGCATTGTTAAGAGGCAGCGTAATTAACTCTTCATTATAAATGGTTTTATTAAATGCATTTCAAAATCGGAGACTCTGGAAAGCAATTTTGAATCCGGCAGCAATGAATGAAAGATGGTAAGAGGACGCTTACCAGGTGGCCTTCAGCAAGGCAGGCCCTTCTTGGGCTGTATCATTGCAAACCAGAATGGAGTTGAGGACGAACCGGGAAGAGGCGGGAGCCGTGTTTGACGCGTGGCTCCCACGTGCCCTAGGTAAACTGCATTTTCCGGCCATCACATCTGCTTTGGAAAAACAAATGCAGCACGTTTGCTTCCTGTGGTTTGGAAGATGCAAAACGGCAACGGAAAAAGGAGTCTAAATTCTGTTAGAAGAGAAGCAAACGGCTCTTGGATGCATGATTTGGCCGTGAAACTGCAAGTTTGTCTGCAGAGCCTGTTGACAATTGAATGGTTAATATTCCTAACTGTAGCAAAAGTAAATTATGTATGAAGGGGTTGACTTCCTTCTCTTTTCTTGAAATAATGATCCCCTGCTGAGAGAGAGAAAGGAAGGGAGGAGTGAGTGGGAGGAGGGCGGAGGAGACGCTCAGAGGAAGGAGGCAATAGCGGTAGTGAACACCCATCAGGTGCAGGAGGAAAACGGGATTTCTCCAGGACCACCGGAGCGCGGAGCCCTGAGCACAGCCTGTGCATGCACCTCCTCTCCCAGACAAGTCTCCCAGAGCAGCCGGGGTGGGGTGGTGGCCGGCAAGGTCACCTAGCCTTGCTCCAGCTCAGCGTGGTTCTGGGAGAACCTCGTGGTCCTGGAAGGCTGCCCCTCGGCTGTGCAGGGGTTGGGAGAGTGGCTGACCAACTGCTTTCTCTGATTTCAGGGGACACCTGGAAAGCCAGGACCACGGGGACAGCGAGGCCCGACGGTAACCTTCCTTTGGTTCAAGGGCTGTCTTTTAGAAAGTGGAGCATGTTTTAGGGA